ATCTGAAGCCAGAAAACTGGTCACCGGAATTCAACAGAGAGAAAAACTCCCTCGGGGAACCATGGTTTAGTAGATAATTATAAGGTATTTGCACAGGGACCATAATTATGAGGTGTCGGTTATATTAGGAGAATGGGATTGCGTTATTTCAGAATCAAGTCTTGTGAGTTGAACATATTTGAAAGACAAGTTCTGGAAACTAGCTTAGTTCTGTGCTCACCCCCTAAGTATGTCTTGATCTTGACATTTCCTAAAGACTTTGTGGAGCGCCAGCCTTCCAGGACGGTGCTTATGGTTATGGGATGACTGGAGATCGTCCAACTGGCGCCAGGAGTTTCCACAATATGCACATGGCCGTTGTCAAAACTCAGAACGGCTATACGGATGTGGGTCAATATGGAAGACCTAGCAAACCACAGATGTGAAAGTCTAGTTTAGTATTCACCATCCATAATTTTGCGGTACCTAATTTTGACCCATACCCATATACAAAGATGTTGCCTCATTTCTTGATTGAGTCAATAAATGTATCAGTATCAATCTAAGGACGTTGGAAAATAGGCACTTCAAAACTTTTGACGAGTGGTCTATGTCAATGCGTTTTAATGGGTTTGTGTTCATCTATATATATATATGTGTTCATATCATGAGAAGTGGGAATGGCTAACATGTCTCGCTCTGGGGCAGGCCCGTTTGCAATGGCCGACGTGACCAGAGAGCCGCAACAAAAAAGAAACTCTGGACGTGCCTCGTTTCCTGGGACTTTGTTTGAGAAGGATACGGCTGAGTTAACAACTCATGTTTGGATATGTTTGGTACCTTGATGATTTTTAATGCTTATCTATGCTGCTGTTGTGCAAAAACATCTTCGAAAACATATTATTACTGTGTTCTTTGCAGTTGAAGCGAGTCGCCACGGGCTGAAAACATCCTGACTTGGGGATATCGCTTTTCAACATGACATGTTCAAAAGCCAGCAAACAATAACTGATGTTAGGCTTCGGAAGATAGTGTGTTTGAACTATTTTGAATTTTATTGACACAATGACTGAGCATTGTTGGCATTGTAGATTTGTGTGATTCATTATCTAAACATGTTGCGATTTTAAGTGCTGGTTTTCCGGCGAGTCTTATGCTTTTTCGAGTGGAAACTGATCGCAGCGTCCGGAGCGCTATGTTGAAAGGCTGAGGCGCTCGTAAGTCGTAAGTGACAGAAGGTTACCAGAATCAAAGTTGGATGAAGCCACAAAACCGAGAAACACGAGAAATTGAACACCTAAAAATGGTTTGGAACCAGAATTGGTGGATAACTGACTTTTATTTCGGAACCATCATCAATGATTTAATGAAGACCAGAAAATCCTCAGAAGTTTTTGCTTCGATCACCCAAACGATGGGTAGATGATGGTAGATGAATACAGCTTTGTCTGAAAATAGGTTACCCATGGTTACCCATAATTGACATTTGATCAATTTGATCATCATTTTCCACGTCGTAGGATTGCCATTTGGCCATTTTTTTTTTGGTACCTTGGTACCTCGATGCAGTTCGGATCCTTGGACTAAAGGTGCAGAGTCTTGGCTCAGTCGCCAGAATGGAAGGGGGGACAGGATGCGATGTTGGAATACCAGGAGTCCGTCTGGGACCAAGCTGAAAACGAGCCAGCTCGAGGATTGTCTCAATGAAAACTGTGTCAATATGTCTTAATAAATATATAGTTACAATTGATAATTATTGATCATAGATTGTTATGTTTGATTGTAACTATAATACATATATATATATATATATTTATCATATAGTAACTCAGAGATGTACATACAATGATACACATATGTCAAACGAATATGTTTCGTCAAATCCAGGTCTATGTTATCTGGTGGTCCACTGAAATGGCTCTTATCAGATGGCACTGGTGGCTGGGATGTGGCTGGTAATGTTGAGATTACTGTTTGATTCTTAAATGTTCTAATATATGATTAGTATGATGCTTAGATGTTCTAAAACATTGTTGAGATTACTATGATTCTTAGATGTTCTAGGGGAGTTTCTTGACATGTCTCTTAATATCAACGGGTTGGAACAGATTCTAGACATTGCATGGTAATATGATCAGCTTGACCAACATTTGGTACAGCTCGTGATGCAAATGTGCTGGTCAGCGGGTGACTGACTTTTTAGGTGCAGTGAGGGCTATTTGGAGTGCTTCCTTCTGGAAGATGAAGTAAATGATTTGACTGCGGTGCAAATCTGAAGCATGGATAGATTATGCATGCAATCGAACCTTGGCATATCCTTGATCATGTTTATTCACCGTGAGGAGTTCGTCTTTTTTTTCTTGTGCAACGCAGCATAAGCTTTGCACCAATGTCGACTGAGGATCATTTAGGTTGCTGACTTGGGTTGGGTGTAGCGTTTTTCCTCTAGATTTTATCAGAGTTGCTTCCGCCTCCGTCCTCCTCCTCCGGCAGCCCGAGAGGTGATGGTGGATTTGTATGATCATTGACAGAATATATGTCAGAATAGATGCCTTGAAATGCCATGGTGGACATGGTGGGGATCACTCGAAGTAAAATAATTATCATATATTATCAGCCGTTTTTATATCCAGTTATATCATGTGTGACTCCCACAGAACGTGTGTGACACCACCCCAGGTCCAACCCACTGACATCTCAAGATGGAGTTGGCAGCCGGGCTCGGTGGCTTGCCATCTACGGGAGCTTGCGCTGTAGGATCATAAAAATCATTTCTGGAAAGCCCAAGGTAGCTTGCACTTGCGTTGCGAAGCCTTAAACATGGATAAACATGGTTGATGTAGAAATAAGTGCTTTCTATTTTCAGAAATCGGGGCGGGGATCCTGCGGTCCTTTTCAGAAAGGAAGAAGTTTTGGGAGTCCCAAATGTTCGATTTTCACAGGTGCAGGGCACCACGGTCTGAGGGTCTTCTAAAAATTTGGGCCAGTGATACATAGCGACATCGCAATGGCCAAACTGTAATTTGTAGATTGTGTAAATGATATGGTGATATGGTGGTATCATCCCAAGAACTGTTTGTTTCTGTTTCAGCATCAACATAAAGCGCCAATCCCTTCCCATTTTTACATCGAAGTCCTGGAAAATGCCATGGATTTGTGATTTGGGATCCCATCGGGGAGGATTACCCTCTGGTAAACGTTTACATAACTATGGAAAATCACCATTTTTAATGGGAAAATCCACTATAAATGGCCATTTTCAATACTAGTAGCTATGTTAAATTACCAAAGGGTATGATTGCTGGGAGTGTAGATGTGTTCCGAAGTCTTCAAGCGGACCACCGTTTGTCCACAAATACAGTGCGACCCCCTTCCTTTTTAAACCACATTTCATCAAGTTTCTGGGGTCCCAAATTGCACTGCTGACTTGTATTCACATGATTGTTGGTAAACATCCTCACTTTTGTTGGTATATAATATGATATCTAATACATGATATAATATAATATAATATAATGTAATATAATATAATATAATGTAATATAATATAATATATAATATATAATATATAATATATAATATATAATATATAATATATAATATATATATATATAATATATATATATATAATATATATATATATAATATAATATATAATATATAATATATATATATAATATATAATATATAATATATAATATATAATATATAATATATAATATAATATATAATATATAATATATAATATAATATGATACAACATTATATATATAATTATATATATATATTATACACACATCATACACATCCGTTTGTTTGGTAAACTCCACGTGGGAACATTAAAATCATTGGACCACTGGACAAGCAGGACATCTAACGCCGGAGGTTTCTGCCACCTCTCAAGGAGGTTTGCAGTTTACAGCGGCTCAGCTCCGACCCCCCAAGAAGGCCCAGCCACCAAGGGAGAAACACCTGGGATGGTAGGCTTTAAGCATGTTTGACCTCTGCTCCTGAAAATTCATGAATTTTCTATAGTGTTCCCATCATGTTCCTCAATTGGTGGGGGTTAAGAAAAAGTTAAAAGCCACTTTTTGCTTGGTTTGGGATTCCAAGCAATTTCTAAGGGGCTCATCAGCTCCTGCTGGGCGCATTAACTTCAGGAAAGAGTACCTTCAGGGTGATCTAACCTGAAAAGCACATGTTTCTTTGCCATGGCATTGTGCTGGTCCATGTTGCCCTTTATTGAAACCAAGTGCATGCGGCGGTCTTCGAAGCATTTTCAATGCTTCGGAGTAGAAAACCGAGTCAATTCATACCACCTAAAGTTGCGAGAGTTTCTACTGGAATTTTCATCCCAGGTTGGACATGAATTGTTTACGATATGTTAAGATATCGATATGTTAATTAAGCCAGTACTTACATGGGATATCCCAGTTAAAGGACTTATTTGTCAGGGTCAGGAAATGTAGAATGACCACACTCCCAGAATTTTTCACGGAGTCATGGAGCCCTTCTTCGGCTCGGCTCAAAGAAGGTGCGGAATGATGCTTGAATGTTGTCTATCATGTTACCAATTGTTACCAATTGTTGCCAATTCCCTTCATTCGATCAGCAGGAATATAGCAATTTTCTGATGTGGTACATCGTTGACCACAGCTTTGTTCAACTGAGTGATTTATGTTGCTCAGATTTCATCGAATATCAGTCGTGCTGTTGGCGGCTTGATGAACGGCTTGCCGTTCAAGCCGTTCATGAGGAAAGGGTGTTTGCCATTGGATGTCTCTGCAAATTACATGATTTTGAATCATGTTTGTGAAACAACTCACAAATTCCAGAAAACATATATTTTGATCAGCAACACATATATTGACTCTTTTTTTACATTCAATTCCATTTGAATCAACACATTCAGAATTCAGTGAATCAATTAGACATGAATCTGAATAATTCCTATCTCAACACTAATTGGGGGTTTCAAACAAAAGGTGATCCCCAGTCGTCACCGATTCCATCCACACGGCATGACAGAGCTGAACAGCTGCCCCTTGGATGAGTTGCTCCAGTTGGGTCTCAATGCGAACGCAGCGCAGAGGACGTGGGAAAATCCGATCCGGGCGATTTGTGGTCAAGGTTGGTTGGATTTCTGAAAGGTGACCAATGTTTTTGTTGGTTGGATTTTTTGGACTTGGCACGAGATTTGGTTGGTCGTAGGAAGAAGTTGTAGTTATCCAAATCGGGGGTTGCCCAATTTCGATCCTGAACTAATTCAGCTTTTCAGCGGAGGATCATTGACCATCGACCCTTCGGTCATATGGATGAGGTGATGGATGCATCTTGGATGCTTAGCAGCTAGTGTCAGAGAAATGACCCTGTGGAACTTCCTCGTTAAATTTATGTATGAAAGCCTACAAAAACCCTAGTGAAAAAAAATATATATATATATATTTCTCACCTCATTGGATACTGAGATTGGGAGGATTTGAGCCATTATATAGCCATTCTATAGCCATCCATAGGGATCTTTATAGCCATTGTATAGCTACAAGGAATCCCAGTGATGGTGGGATTCGACCATATGCCACTTTCATGGCTGGGTTTGTACTAGACTACCGAATTTCAGTTGGGAACCAAAAATGTTTTCCCTTCTTGACTTCTTGACATGATTTTTCCTCTTCAGACACCAGAGAATCCCAGACATGAAGTGCACATCTTTTTGTATCCAAACTTCGAACTGCGTTGGGCGTTGGCAGGGGAGGTCGTATCCAAACTTCGAACCGTGCTTTTGGAGGGTGTTTTGATGTTTTGGGATGGCTTGGGTCATCCATTTTGAACCCAACTCATGCCAACGGTGTCCCCAAAATCGTCCATATTTTTGGGGGGGATTAGACACATAACCATTAATAAACCAGAATGAAGCGATTTTTTTGTTATCACTGGTTTAAGATTCTTGGTGATATATCTCATGGATTCTCTATTTTGTTAGCCTTTGGTAATCCAACATTGCCCTGGAAATTCACAGTGTTTGAATATGTTTAATAGGTAAATCATCGAACCAAATGGGCCATTTTCCATAGGGAAGCAAGACTACTGGAGGGTATATCCCGATATATCCTGATGGTTTTCTCATTATTATCAAGTCTACTTGGGTCATCCCACTTAGTAGTTGGTCAACAACGCTGGTTACTAAGTCCCCTGATAGTCCCCTATTAGCTTATCCCATATACAGGGGAAGAAACGCCCGTTTCCTAACCACTCACTAAATGCGAGAATCCTTTAAGTAGTCATTTGGTTGGTGGTTTGGAACATGGCTATATTTTTCCATATATTAGGAATAATCATTCCAACTGACGAACTCATATTTTTCAGACGGGTAGGTATACCACCAACCAGTCATGATTGATAAATGATTTTCCAATGCAGGTTCTGGCGGATGTGGATGCGAAGGACTTGCTGGCTGCCGCCTGCGTGCAGCCGTGCTGGGTGGTGCTCAACGACGAAAGAACGCTGCAGTGCTATGAAAATGTCAAGCTGTGTCTTGGATGCCCCAGGACACAACTACCGGTGCTTCAAAAATCGAAAAGTGATGATTGATTTTGATTGTTATCCTGCCCCCAATTAACATAGACTCTAAAAGTAGCTCATATTTAGAAACTAATCTTCCAAGCTCCTATTTGGCAGGGTCTAGGTTTTCTACTGGAAGGTACTAGTCACATCGATATTTTAGGTATTTCCCATCTTTCAAAGTAGAAGGATGATATCAATTGATGGTGTTTTTCCACAGCATGGTTCAACTACCGGCTTAATTGCCAGCTGGAGGCTCGTTTTCAACCCTGAAACGCAGAGAAAGAAGCGGAGTATCCAAATACAAGGAGGCACCTTTTCCAGCTGAAATTGGTTCAAGCAGAAACCGTTTATTTCAAGACCATATTTATTGTATTGAATTGTGGCAAATTCTGTCCATGTTTGAACGGAATTACTCATTTAGCGCTTCGGAGAAACCATGTTCCCTTCCCAATTACAAGATTAGCCACAATGTTCTTTATTGGTTCTTGCTGTACAAGAATTGGCATTTTTTTGGCCAACAAAGACCCCAACATGGATCGAATTCATTGCTTGATCCACCGAATATTTGGCAGTGACCCTTTCTGCAGTTTAGGCACTTGCCGGGCGGTGCGGACAATGTTCAGCACGCCTGGTTTGGTGTTCCATCTGAAGAGGGGAAGGGCGCAGACTGCACGGAAGCCGTCCAAAAGCTGCGGCGAGAGAACCGGGCTGCCACATGGCTGAAATTGTTGAAGTTGTGGCTGGACATGCAATGACAACTCTATTTCACTTGTAGCCTTTGGACTGCAAAATCTGTGGTTTTGTTGCAATTTGCCGTTTCTGTATTTTGCAGTCTTTCCGCGTGTTTGAAGAGTGTAGAGTTTCTTTTCACTGGCAATGTTTGAAGTAGTCTACCTGAGTCTACCTCAATAGAGCAACTTTGACTGCATTTTGACTTGCACTTTACTTCGTTTGTAATTATGTGGGTTTACAGGGTCTACCCGACTTGGGTAAACTCAGGAAATTCAGCACAGTACTTCCCATACCTAGTCAGTTGGAGCACTGGTCAGCGGGGTTGTGGAGCTAGAGCCATGCTGGGCTGCTGGATATGTTTCCCCGTGGTGGCCCGTGGAGGACATCAAATGTAGACACACAGAATGTATGCCCTGGATGCCCAGTGTTGTGACATTTCGATGTAAAAATGTGGGGTACTAATTATACTTAGGGATGTATCATTTTTCCATTCAGAACCTTTTTAAGTTGCATGGAATTACCATAGAATTTTTGGGGATGATCCATTGACCTGCCATTGACCAGCGAAAAAATGGGCTTCACCCTGAGGTGATCGTCTCCCCAGTCGCTCTAGGCTGCGATCCGGCTCCATGTGCCGCTAGGTGGAAAAGCCATGGAATAAGCCATGGGGGGTTCCCCAGGGTTCCCGGGTTTTGCAGGTGTTTTGATCTACAAATGCTGGTTTTTCCATGGTTTTTTTCCATAAATCTGGGTAAATTATGGTAAATGTCAATATGTCACTAACCTGAATTCTTGGGCCATTTGGGGATGATTTCCCACACGAAAACCATGATTCCAGTGAGGTCACGACGTGAGGTCGTTATAATTTACCCAGATAAATGGGAAAAACATGGAAAAACTGGTATGTATGTTTTTTTTAAAGTTGTTTTACTTGTGGAAAAGCCACCATTTGTAGATCAAAACACCTGGCTTTTACATTCTTTCCCAGAGTTCGGGAAAACATGGAATGACATCAGCAAAACTGATACATATATATGTAAAAAAAAATCATCGCCACACGCCAATTTTACTGGAGGGGAAAGTTAAAAAAAAGTGAAAAAAACATCAAACGTGGAGAGACCTTATTTTAAGACAAGGCCAAATGGGAATTGAGCGGAGTATGATGACAATTGTGGCTAAATCACCAGGAAATGTGAATCCAAGCAGCTTTCATCGGCTGGAGTTTTTTCGCAACAAACATGGAGATGTCACCAACAAAATGGTAGTCATATCTATGACTAGCCATTGAAAGTTTTGAAGTTGAAGCAACAAACATGGGAGTTCAACTCCAACAACTTAACTGGAGTTTATGGCTTACCATCAAAGCAGTCAAAAAGGATTATCCACAAAAAGTGTGAAACAGGAATATATATGTGAAACATTGTGAAACAACAAAACCTGGGAATGTGGTCAAGCCACCAAGTACTGGACGGGTTAGGCCAAGAATCAAGGCCCACAATGCTGTTGTTCTTGGCAACTTTCAGCATCCAGCATGCGTTTCTTTCTTGGAGGTTGCCAAACCTGCCAAAGTGGATCATTTTTTGTGTTTTTTGGTTTCGATACGCAGCAAACATTATGATTTAATGATTTATTATCACAGTAGGGTCAGTAGGGCAACCCAGAAAAAAATATGAAGTCTTGGCCAGCTTGAAATTCCCAACACTATTAGGGAGGATATATTTGTTGTACGTGCGCCTGAGCAACAACACTGAGGTCTTCAAGCAGTTCCGAGTTCAGTTGCTCGACAGCAATCGGAACCTACCCTCTGGTAATTTAACGTAGCTATTGAAAATGACCATTTATAGTGAGTTTTCCCATTAAAAATGGTGATTTTCCATAGTTATGTTAGTTTACCAGAGGGTAACGTTGGACTCCATAGTCTGGGTTGGGGTGGATTATTAAAGGTTCAGCCATCGCGACGAGAAACCCGTGTGCGAGGTTGCGGGATCCAAGTGGTTTTCGCGCAGAGGAGCCACGTCAGTTGCTTGGCGCACTTTGATGTTGGTGTCCCTCCATTTTTGTGAGTTCATGGGGGGGGTGTTGGGTCAAAACATGTTAAACCTTGGCTTGTACCCAGATTTTTTTATGGGTATGAAGATCCAATGAACTACTGTATCTACCAGCTACCAGCTGACTGCCAAAGACCCAGAAGTGGGGGATGACTTGAACTCTTGCGGTTGAAACACCAATGTTTGTCATTGTAAAAGGAAGGTTTCCAGTAACAGAGGGTATATCCCCCTGACATATCCCCAATTTCCTTATATCTTGAGGTGATTGATGATTAGATGTTCCCTTTCTGTACGTAAATAATTCCACTGACAAACCACCGGAGATACAAAGTGGAGAGTAAGTCTGATGATGCTGATGATGCTGATTACGACTATATGGCGACGATGTTGCGCGGGGGATTGAGCCGCAGCAAAACTGCTTCCGAAAAAAACAGGTGGGTGGAATAGTTAAGTGTGAAGTTTCATGTGCTTTGCGATTCCAGCCCTGCCAATACCTTGCTGAAGCAAGAGGGGCTTCAGCTAGCAGGGGCTTGCTTTCGTGACCTACTTGGGTTCTTCTTTTGGAAGTGATCACCAACTCAATCCTTGACCTTTAATGGTTCATATCAACTTGGTTGAATGTTGGTTGGCCTCTCTTGCCCGGTGTGTTTCAGCGGATTCAGGAATGATGAGAAAATTGTAAGAACGTCCACGCGCAATGATCATATCTCATACTACAAGGGTTCTCTGTGGGAGTGGAAGGGGTTCCCAGGCGGTTTCCATGCTTCGGACTTTGCAAAAACCGACCATCGACAGTGACTAGAGATGAGTCGAGTCAGTACATTATGTTTAACAGAATTCGTTCAACAGAGAAACTACATGAAGCAACCAATGTTTGGGCATAAAAAAGGATTCCTACACATCATTTGAATCCATTGAGATTTTGGTCGCAGGCTCAGACAGTGGAAAACATTGGACGAAGTACCATCTGCGCCTGAGGGCAAGTGGGTTGCTTTCATTCGACATGCTCAGGCAGGTCACAATGTGGCTCAGCTGGAAAAGGTGTGCGCCCTATTGCTGTGTGATGTCCTTTCCCCGTTGAAGGATTCAAGTAGATACATGCACTGGAGAGTTTATGACATTATCATATATACATTAAGCATTTCTATTGGAAACCGTGATTGCTAGTTATTTTTATATTATGTAGTTGATTTACAAGTTGTATTATATTATATATACACTGTGATTGATACATTATGAACATATATATATATATGTATATATATATACATACATGTATACACTTATATATATACATATATATATATAGAATTAATTAGTTTGATTTAGTAAGAATATTTCATTATATCCAAATTGGGGTGTGATGCATTCTTTAAGCCAGTTCCGTCCCAGTAAACACGCCTTGGGTACGCCAGTGGCTGCGATCTAGCCCAGCTGGTTGATGTTTTTAGTTGGGGGGGATTATACCAACCAATAGATGGGGACTATAATAGTCCAAGAACGGGGAATCAATATATAGGTACCCTCTGGTAATTTAACATAGCTATTGAAAATGGTGATTTATAGTGGAATTACCCATTGAGAATGGTGATTTTCCATAGTTATGTTAGTTTACCAGAGGGTATATTCCAAGAGTCCTATCCTTTGCAGTTTCTTGTTGATATTGGAAAGCACATTGATTTTCTGTAAAGTGTCCTTCAACACTTGCATCATCTTGAATCAGTCAATTCAATCGATTCATGTTCTCCAAAAATTCTTCCCTTACCCTCCAGTTTCATCAAACATG